CTCAAGTGATTCAAGAAAAAAAAAAAAAATTACACATATACAGAGAGAGAAGCATGCAAATAGTAAGGCAAACAGGATAAAATGTGAACAATAAGCAAATTTAGATAAAGAGCATACAGCTGTTTCTTGTATTATTTTATTCTTATAACTTTTTGTGAGCTTAAAATTAGTTCCAAGTAAAAGTTTAAAAGTATGTATGTATTCAACTAGAACTGCACTGTCCAATACAGTAGCCACCAACTATATAAGGCTGCTGAAGTTAAAATAAAGCCTGTCCAAAGCTAGATGTGCTGTTAGTGCAAAATACAAGCCAGATTTCAAAAACTTAGTATAAAAAATCTCATCAGTTATTTTTAAAGTATCTCAGTAATTTTTAAGTTGACTATATGTTGAAATATTTTAGATATATTGGGTCAGAAGAAATCTATTTTAAAAATCAATTTCACCTCTTCACTTTAAAAAATCTCTCCTTGACAATGATTATCTTTATTTACTTGGCTGCGCTGAGTCTTGGTGGTGGCTCTCTGGCTCAGCAGTTATAGCACACAGGCTTAGTTACTACTCGGCCTGTGGGATCTTAGTTCCCCGAACAGGGTTCAAACCTACGTACCCTGCACTGCAAGGCTGATTCTTAACCACTGGATCACCAGGGAAGTCCCTCTTCACTTTTTTTTAAATGTGGCTACTAGAAGCTTTAAATCACATATGTGATTCATATTTGCATTGGACAGGGCTGAGCTAGATGGTCAAGAATCTCCATAATGAGGTATCACACAATCTTTCTAAGTTTCTCTCTCAATTTCTTTCTGCTGTAAGCAGACCTCTATCTCTAAGTCTCTTGGTTTTAAGCTACTTAAGGGTAAGGTTCAGTTTTATTCACTGCTGTACCTCCAGTATCTAGCACATATCCAGTGTTATTTACTATTAAACATTTGTTTATTGAAAGGTAATATGCAAAGAATGGGGGGCTAGCAGAAGAATGAAATCAGTCTCTTAGTTTGTTTATGCTGTAAACTCCTTCCTAGAATGAAAGGAACTCTCTTCCTCTGCTAAGCATCTTCTTCAAAACCCCACCCCTCCAAGGAGACTCTCCACTCACACAGGTTCATTCTGATCAGTTCTCCTCTGTAGTGCTACAGCCTTCATTTTCTATATAGTTCATTTTGGCACTTAATCATGTAAGTTCCCCAAGAGAGAATTTAGATCTCATATTTTCCCCATATTTTCCCCAATGACTGGCCCAGTGCTAACCATATCAGCTGAGGAGCAGATGAAAGGTGCCGGGGACGGGGGAGGGGGGGGGCGGTTGAGACAATTTGGCTTTAGTCTCAGTTCTGACACCTACTGTGTTGCTTTAGATAAAACACTTAATCTCTCCCTTTCTACTTCATTTTTAAAATCAGAGAGACTCATTAACCATGAAAGCAGCCTTCTGTTTCCACAATTCTAGAATTAAATCCATTTTTTCTTTAGCAGTATTAGCAATAAAAGCAAATCTAATACACTTAAAGATCTCAGTTAAATCAGAGTAAAACCCCTAAGAAAGAAATGGCAACAAAGTTTATAAACTGCATGAAGTACTAAATGCTGGTGTCTTTCCAGCCATGAAGCTCTTTAAATCCACATTTCTCTTCAAAGCCTATTAAGCAAAACAATCAATACAAACATATTAGAGCTACCTGTTTTTTTTTTTCCCCAGACTTTTACAAGCCTCAAAGAAACACCTTTTAGTAGCTAGTGGAAGCAAAAAAAAAAAAAAAAAAAAAACAGAAATTAAATTTTCTATAAAGTACCCTGTACCTTATTGGTGATGTTCAAAGATTCTGAGTTACAATTGACTATATGTACACTGTTTCTTTTTTCAAAAATGCTATTTAAAGCATTTTTTATAGCATATTTCCTATTCAGAGGAAAATTACAAGAGTTAAAATGAAAAGATGTAAAAAACAGAATGTTAAAAAAATATGCAATTTAATTTCAAAGCATGAACACTATTTCAAACAAATTAAATAAGCCACCTTCAGTCAGTTCAGTTGCTCAGTCATGTCCAACACTTTTCAACCCCATGGACTGCAGCAGGCCAGGCTTCCCTGTCTATCACTAACTCCCAGAACTTATTCAAACTCATGTCCATTCAATCAGTGATGCCATCCAACCATCTCATCCTCTGTCGTCCCTTTCTCCTCTGGGTCACCTTAGTTTTAATCTTATATCTCAAGACCTCTTCTGAGAAATAAGATTATCAAGGTGGGAGAAAATAAAGTGGTTGCCATGGTACATAAAAATTCAAGTTATACTTGTCCGTAAATACCACCTGTGGAGTTTAGGGGGACTTCCCTGGTGGTCCAGTGGCTAAGACTCCAGGCTCCCAATTCAGGGGCCCCAAGTTCAATCCCTGGTCAGGGAACTAAATCCCACATGCTGCAACTAAGACCTGGTGCAGCCAAATAAGTAAATAAATAAATATTTTTTTAAAAAATACCACCTGTGGAGTTTAAACTAGTAATACAAATTACAAGGTTTCTTTAAGGATTTATCCAAATGCTCCTACTAACTGCTGAGCATTAACACTGACCCATCTATAAGATTAGAGCCAAATTCTACCCACGGGACTCTAGGTCTGCCTGCTACAGCCTGAGCTACCGCTGCAGCCTCACCTCCTACCAATCCCTGCACATCATTTGCCCACCTAAATTTAATTGTTCACGCTCCCCTCGATATTACATGCCCATTTTATGACTTCTGGTCTAGGCAGCCACAGTTCCCTCAGCCCAACCTGCCCTCCCATCTTTTGAGTTGCAAATATACCCTCCTCCCAGAAGCTTTTCCTGATCACCCCAATACCCTCCAAGGAAGTGGCCCCCAGGCACTATTCATTCTTCCATTATAAAACATTTCCATTACTTTTAAATGGCCATTCCCCCAACCAGCCGTGAATTCTAAAAGGAGGACCCAGATCTTACTTAACAGGTTCCTAGGCCCCTAGCAGATACTTTGCATCTATTGCCACTCAAGGATACTGAAGAGAAAAAAAGTAGTAAGCTATGAGATACAATTCAAACCTTCCTATGAAAGAATATATAAATTTAAGACAGTGATTTTCAGCCAGGGCAATTTTGCTCCTAGGTGACATTTGGTAAAGTCTTCAGATATTTCTGGTTGTCACAAGAGTGGGCAGGGGATTGGGGGGCATGGGGGTGCTATGGCATCTAGTGGATAGAAGCCAGGGATGCTGCTAAACATCCTGTAATGCAAAGGACAGCCCACTACAACAAAGAATTATCTGCTCACAAATGTCAATAATGCCATGTTGCCAAATGACTTGTAACATCTCAGCAATAACCAGAGATAAAGTCCAACCTTGTAAGTTTCACCTGAAACTTCTGTAGCCATTGATGTGTATGCACCAACGCTCAAAATGACCTTTATACAACTGTAATGCTTAAGAACACTAAACCAAGAGTACCCGAAAGCTGCTGTATTTCTGAACACTAACCTATAACTACTAGACGCTATTCTTAAGTCAGTAAACACTTTGTTTCATTTATAAACTTCAAAGCAAACCACAAACTACTGATAATCTTCAACTGTGGAATTACCTGACCAAAAAATCTGAGGCATGAGGAAATGAGTTCCTTCAGGTGTGAAAAAAGAAAACTCTAATCAGTGCGAGTAAATCATGCACAGATGTCTTTAATGCTGAACTGATGGCCAGAGTAAAGCGCATGCCCTTGCTACCGACAAAAACAGCACTTATCAAGGTTTCAAAAAACTGACAAAACATTGCAAAAAATTATCAAATGTCAATACAAGGTGACAGATACAGAAATTAACTATTTCTCCCCCTGATATATGGCCAAGTTGCACGAGACTTGAACGTTCCACAAAGCTCTGCAGGCGCAAGGACACTCCCTTTCTATAGAGGGGATGACTCAACTCTCTTTAGCACCTTCCTGGACTGCATACCACAAATTCAATAAAGTCCTTTTGTGCTTGAACTAGTTATCCTACTCCCTCAGGAACCAACTAATGGGTTCGGCACCAAATTTTCAACCATTTACCTTTCTGTTGCACCCCCATTAGTCTCAAAAAGAGTTTTTAAAAAAGCTAAACAAAACAAAAACTTGAGTTAACAGTAACTCTTATAGAAAACATTTTAATTCTTATTCTAGGAACTGATTCCTAAACAAAACACCTCCAGCTTTCCAATACTCAATCTTTATATCTTATGGTTTTTCCAGATCTGAAATGGACATAGCACTGGCAGAAAATAAAGGGGCATTCCGTTAGGTAAAGCTTACAACTGATTTATTCTTGAATAACTCGAAAAAGGTACTAGGCTGGGAGAGGAAAACGCATTTTTAATTGGAGGAGAAAAAAAGTTGCCAACTGTGAGTAATATCTTCCTTCGCAGCTGACTTTGCCAGTTAGGTGTCGGTACCGCCACTGGGCCGATGCTAGGCCAGGCTTCACCACATCACCCTGCGGGGTCGCCCAGCTGAGATAACGAAGCCGCATGTGGCAGGTGCGCGTCGTGGAAAGTTGGGGGGCACGCTGGGCGGGGCGCTGGGGGAAGAGGCGAGCCCGCCTCCCCCGGGCTCCCACCGCGCGTTCTCCGGCCTGGCGCGCGGATGGCGGGCCGGACCCGCAGGCACTAACTCTCCATTTTCACAGCCACTCCAGGTTCTGGAAGGAACGTGCCGGCACCACACCCTCCCGCGCGCACTGACAGCCCGCGCGAGAGCCGGGCCGGGGCCTGGGCGTGCGGAGCCGCGGGGGACCCGACGCCCGGCCCCGGCCTGCTGCCCAGCGGCCGCCCCGCCCGCCCGCCCTCCCTGCCCCCGCGGCCCGCCCCCGGAGCAGACGACGGAGGCCTAATCGCCGCCCGGGCTGCGGGGCCTAAAGAAGGAAGGAGCCCGCGCTCAGGAGGGGGCGGCTTCCGCGTCCCCGGGCTCCGGCTCTGCGCTCACGTGCTCCTGGAAAGACGGTCTGTCTCTTACCCTCTGCAGAATCCTCCTTAACATGGTTTAAACACCACCGGCGCCGCCGCGGTGACTCTCCGAACCTTCCGCGGGGGCCACTCACTACTCGGGGCTGCGCGGGCGGGAGGCACTGAGCCGCGAGAGGGCTGCGAGGAGGTCGGGGCGAGGCGGTGGCGGCGGCCGCTCCGGCGGCCCCGACTTCCCCGCAAGCTGCGAGAGGGAGCGCGCACGACAGAGCGACGAGGTAGCCAGCCAGCGCCGCCCGCCTGCCAGGTCTTCCCCCGTAACTGACAGCGGGGCGGACCCGCCCGCCGCCGCACCGCCCTCTCGGCCTGTCCATCCACGGGAGGCGGGGCTAGAAGGGGCCGGGCCCGCGTCTGCGACCAATCGAAAGCGGCGGCAGCGTGGGTAGTTGCGTGACGGACAGGCGGCAGGACGTGGGCGCTGCCGCCGCCGCTCCTTCCGGCTTGTTGGGGGACGCCACGGCCGCCGAGTGCACGCGCTCCGTCGGGGGACGCTGCCGCGCTCAGACCGCGTACCCGCTGGGGGGACCGGTCGGGGTCCGTGACCGCGACACCAAGAGGGATCTCGGGGCAGGTACCCAGACTGCACCTCAGTCGACTCTGTAAAATTTGTCAGTGTGACCCTGGCCTTGACCGTTCCAGAACGGGACCGTCATTTCTCCTGGAAGCGCTTAGTCCCTGGGTGGAAGCAAAGGAGAGAATCACAGTCACGATTAACCGGTCTGATGGGCTTCTCTCCCCTGGTCCAATCCCTGGCTCCTTTCTCTTCTCCCTTCCTGCTCCTAATTTCAGCCGAAGGGAAAGTAAGGAGCCGGAAGAAAGGGTGGGAAGAAACTGGAATTTTATTTAGCAAGAGAAGTTTGGGGTTGTCTGTTTTGGACTATAACAACATTTAATGGGGTGATGTTAAAAAGTGTTTCACTATCTAAAGCCCATGCTTGGTCCATTCTCCTAAGGAATTTTAAATCCTCTTCTGATAACAGATGTATATGAAGTGAATCGACCTTAATGCGTCTGTTTCATAAATTAAGGAAAAATAATGAGGTCACAGATAAACAGTTTGCCAAAACAAGGACGTGGACTTGGAAGTGGGCCTGGAACCGACTTCCAGGCACGACATCATTATTTACACTCAAAAATCACAGCTGCGAAATCCTACCATTCTGCCAGTATTCACAAGCTAAGAGGTTCGACTTGATGGTGGGGGGTGGGGACGTTCAGTTCAAGAATACTGGAGTGGGTTGTCATTCCCTCCTCCAGAGAATCTTCCTGACCCAGAGATTGAGCCCAGGTCTCCGGCATTCCAGGCAGATTCTTTACCATCTGAGGCACCAGGGAAGCCCTTAAATAGGGACTGGGGGGAGAAGAATGCAATTAACTTGCTGGGGGTGCCGATCTGAAGTCTACCAAGCAGTGAATGGAGTGCTTATTAGAAAATACAGATCTTTTGAAAAAACGCAGCAAATATTATTTTCCAATTAATTAAGGTTAAAAATGTTTTGTAAAAATGTAAATAAAGCATTATATGATGTAATATGTTGTTTATATCCAAACATGTCTGCTTTTTAGTGTGTGTGTATAGTGCAGAAAACAGTCATTCCTACAATTAATATATTATTAATCACTATTGATGACAGTGCCCTTAAATACTTCCAGGCAAACAGAGCAAAGCAATGGTACTTTATGGTCAGACAATATGGGAAATATTTTCACCAACATAAAAGTGATAAAACTGTGATATAATAAGTATATATTTGGTCCCCACCCCTGAGTAATATGCTGATAGGGTAATAAGAGCATCTTTTGTTGTAATGTTTGATTTTTGACCCTGGTTCCAGACACCAGAGCTTCTAAGACCCCTGGAATCCCAGAGTCTTGAGTGTCTTTTTGTATGCTAGTGAATGGTTGGGTGTCCCTAGATAGCTTTAGGATGGGCACTGATCTACTGAAAAACCAAATCATGATTATAAGGTTGAGATTTTCAAGCCCACATTCCCCCTCCACCTTCTGGAGGGAAGACAATCAACATTGGCCAATGATATAATCAATTATACCTATATAATGAAACCTCCATAAAAACCCTCAATAGTGAGGTTTAGAGAACTTCAGATTGACAAACATCAAGGTGTTGGAAGATTACCTGTCTGGAGGGTATGGGGAAGCTTTGCACCCCTTTCCCCATACCTTGCCCCATACCTCTGTTCCGTTTGGCTGTTGTGGAGTGGTAACCTTTGTAATAAACCAATAAGAGTAAGTAAAGTGTTTCTGTGAGTTCTGTTATCAATTATATATATGTGTGTGTTTAGTTGTTTCAGTCCTATGGACTGTAGCCCACCAGGCTCCTTGGTCTATGAGATTTCCCAGGCAAGAATACTGGAGTGTGTTGCCATGTCCTCCTCCAGAGGATCTTCCCACCCCAGGAATCGAACTCTCTTATATCTCCTGCATCGGCAGGGGAGTTTTTTACCAATAACAACACCTGGGAAGTCCTGTTAGGGATTATAGCAAATTGTATAAGGTGGGGAGAGTGTTGTGGGAACCCCCAATTTATAACCAGTTGGCCCAAAGTACAAGCGACAACCTGGGACTTTCAAGTGGTATCTGAAGTAAGGAGCATTTTTGGTGGGACTGAGCCTTTAGCCTATGAGGTCTATGCTAACTCTGGGTTGTTAGTACCAAGAGTGAATTAAATTGTAGGATACCTGGGTGGTGTCTGGAGAATTGCTTGGAATGGAAAAAAACACACATTTGACATCACAAGTATTGTAAGCAAAGGAAACAGCTTTTTACATTTAAAGTGACATTTGTTTTATTTTTTCAAAAATTAGTTTAAAGCTGCTTATTGATGTCACATGCTAAGGCCTTCTCCACTGAAATTCTCCAGTGTACTCTTTTGACTAATATAATAGATTCTCATCTACTGCTTAGCAAGATGGGTTATTAAAAAAATCTGTGTTCTTCCCTGCAGCTTATGATAACTCCATCACTGGAATAATAGACTAGAGAACTTAATTACTCCAAAGGAAAATAAGCAGTGGGTGAAACTTCATCATGTAAAAATATCCTTCACTATAATCTAGCAGCTTCCCACACAAAACAGTCCAGTTTACCGTAACAAGCAAATAGCAAGTGCGTGCGTGCTCAGTCGCGTGTGACTCTTTGCTTCCCAATGGACTGTAGCCCACCAGGCTCCTCTGTCCAAGGGATTTCCCAGGCAAGAATACTGAAGTAGGTTTCCATTTCCTTCTCCAGGGCATCTTCCCAACCCAGGGATCAAACCCGGATCTCGGGCATCTCCCGCATTAGTGTTGCAGGAAGGGAGACCCCTTCCAGGGCCCGGAACTGGGCTCTTGTCTAACACTCGGAAATGAATTGTCCGAGGAGACACATGTGCTGACAAAGCAAGAGATTTTATTGGAAGGGCACCCAGGTGGAGAGCAATAGGAGAAGGGAACCCAGGAGAACTGCTCTGCCACTTGGCTCGCTGTCTCGGATTTTATGGTGATGGGATTAGTTTCCGGGTGGTCTTTGGCCAATCATTCTAATTCAGTCTTTCCTGGTGGCGCATGCATTGCTCAGCCAAGATGGATGCTAGCAAGAGGGATTCTGGGAAGTGGACGGACATGCGGTGTCTCCTTTTGACCTGTCCCGAGCTCTTCTGGTTGGTGGTGGCTTATTAGTTCCGTGTTCCATATCAGGATCTCCCGGCATAAAACAACTCATGCAAGTGGTTACTATGGTGCCTGGCCAGGGTGGGCGGTTTCAATCAGTGTGCCTCCCCTAACATTAGCAGGCGGATTCTTTACCATTAGCACCACCTGGAAAGCCCTCTGGCTGCTAATTTCTTTCAATTTAACTCTTTTACATCCACATTTCACCAGTTCTTTGACTCCATCAAGACCTCCAGTTCACTGGCCCTTCTTACTTCCTATCAGCCTTTTCCCTTCTTGTTGTTCAATCGCTCAGTTGTGTCTGACTCTTTGTGACCCCATGAACTGTAGCATGGCAGGCTTCTCTGTTCTTCACTGTCTCACGAAATTTGCCATTTCCCTAGCATCCTTATTTCTATCAAAACCCAACTTAAAGCCTATGATCCAACTTTATAGCACCCCCACCCTTTACAAATATGCTTAACTTCAGCTCTCTCTTCCTCCATTGTTTTCATCTAGCAGAACCCAAACATGACTGTCCAACTACTCCATGCCATACAAGAGCAGCTGAATATCACTAGAGGTACAAATACACAGTTGGAACTATTGGACTCATTTTACATTAAAAGTCACAGAGCTCCAATAGACACTCAACATTGCCCAGCAGACACCTATTATGCTTTCCTCCTGTCTTCTTTCTCTGGATGCCCCTTGGTGGCTTTCATACCTATATTTCCTTCAGTCTTTATTCATTTGCTTCTTAACCCACTCCAATCATGCTGCCTTCTTATCTACTCTGATGAGACTGTTCATATTAAGATCACTAACAACATACATGTTGTCCAGTGACAAATTTTTTTTTCTTTTACTTTATTTGACTCTTGTTCACACTGAGAACTCTAGACTGTTCTCTCCTTATTTTATTCTTTTACTTTCTTTGACTCTTGTTCACACTGCGAACACTAGATGGTTCTCTCCTTGTTTTATTCTTGACTTCCTGGACAGTTTACTTTCTGGTTTTTCTTCTCAATGACCATTCCTCCTAATACTTGTTTGAAGACTTCTCTATTGCATATCTTACAGTGCCTCCTTAATGTTCTAACACCCCTCCTTTCATCTCTCCCACATGGCCTAGAAGTGATCGCAACCAGTCTCCTGACTTTAAATTTCATCGATTTTCCCGAGTCTACATCTCCAGTGCTGAATCGCCCCAGGTTTCTAGACTTGGATGACAAACCAGCTGCTTCATTTTTCTTCTTAGATGTCTACCGAGCATCTCAAACTTAACATGGCCCACCAAAAACTGTTTCATTTTTATCTTCAAAAGTGCTCCTTCACCAGTTTTCCTGTCTCATTATGTCCTACCCCC